CGATTTTATTCTCTCGAAATAAAAATAAAAGAATCTCTAAATTTTTCATTTTCTTTTTTTTCACCGATTATTTTGATTTTACTGTTTTACGACAGTTATACTCTATTTTTATTGGGTGCTGACGTGGCATGCACCCAATAGAGAATCACCATGAACACCAAAACGATGCGTCTCCCACCACGTCGCTTTTTAACGCCGGATAAACGCAAAGAAAGAGACGGCGTCATCTCCTCCGTCGTAGAAAAACCGCCGGAAGTCGCCGTGACGAAGCTTCCTCCACCGTCGAATCTTAATCCTACTCCGCCGATTAATACCATTTCCAGGAAATCTCTAATCGTAGCCGAACCGATCGGCTCGAACCAGCTGGTTTTAGCCGGTTACTTGAGTCACGAGTTCCTAACCAACGGCACACTCTTCGGTGAGCAATGGAATCCGGCTCGAGCCCAAGCCGGTCCGTTTTCGGCCCAATCAAACGAGCCTAAGAAGTTAAAGCCGAGCCATATCATTGAGCCGGCTGAGGAAAGGGAGCCGAAACGGAAGAGGTATGTGGAGGTTGCTAATCTTCTTCGGTCAGATGGGGCTCACTTGCCCGGCATCGTCAATCCTGCCCAGCTTGCCCGAGTTATCAAACTGTGATCGGCGTAATCCGGTATACACGTGGAGCCAGATCATTGGTCTGTCTTCCGGCAAGCAACACAGCCCTAAAACCAGAACTCTCTTTTTTTTTTCTCTCCATTTTTTTTGTTGTTGTTCTTCAGATGTTTTTGAATCCTCTCTGTAAAGCTGACTCTCTCTTCTTCATCGTCTTCCTCGAAATTGACCGAGGAATTGTAGGGTTTGTTGTTGAGGTAGATGCTCGTGTTTTTTGTACATCAGAAATATCAATTAGCCAATGGATTATATGTTCAATTCAGAAAAAATCGAACTTCTCTAATCTCTTTATGTATGGATTTTGATGGGTTATGATCAATCTGATGATTAATGCGATCCATACATGACGAGCATAAATATCAACTTTCATAAATCTAATTTTTAAAAATTCCATCGATGGATCTTCGATTCAAAATCTTGTTCTGTTCGAAGACCTCTGATTTCGATAACTAGAGAATTGTTCTACAAACTGTCTTCGACGTTAACCTCTCTTTCGATTTCTTTAGAGATTATATCTGTTTGGTTTGAATTGATCATATCTAAATGCATCAGAATCAGAGCATGAATTGCTTTTTTTTTTTTTTTTCCGAGCCTGAATTGCTTAATCTGCATTTTTAAGGAAAAATACGTGAATATTATGTTGATGGGTAGATGATAATGATGATCTAGATACAGAGGTGTTTGTTTATGTTGCTGATGTGCACAAAAGCAGAGTTTTCTAAAGACATTAAGCATTGATAAGATATGAGTCTTTGATTGATGCTAAAAGAAGAAGAAAAGCTTGGAACTTTGACATTTCTCAGTCATTCTTAGTCTTCTTGTTCCTCTCCATTAACTCGGCTATTCTTTTGGATATGCAGTAAGCAGTGGACTGAATGGTGATCATTGGATTAACACCAATAGCCGTTGGGATAACACTTGCATCACAACCATACAAATCTTCTGCTTCCCAGCTCTCTCCATATCCATCAATGGCTCCTTCCTTTTCCGTGGCACCCATACGGCAACATCCCATCTGATGCGCCGTAAAGGAATGAGTCCAATGCTTGCTCATTGAGATAACTCCAGGTGGCGCGCTCACGGTATCTAAAAAGGCCTCTAGTTCTTCCTCTTCGAGTCCATCACACTTTACTACTTTAGTCTCTGCCCATGGCTCCTATATGTGCCAACTTCAGTTGCTCCTGCTGCAACCAAGATCCTCAGTGCTTGCTTTAACCCGATTGTCAGATTCTCTTCGTCCGCTTTGGTTAATTTGTATGTGACAATACCTCCCTTAACTTCCCCAACACCTTCATCTCTCACCATAACGAAAATATGAGATGTTCTTAGCCAATCTCTTCTTCATGTCTGATCCAGAGACCCACGGTGTCAGAGCTGCAAACGTACCTGGTCCTATTGCCGGAGTCTCCAGTGTGATGTTAGGTGTTGTAGAGTCCATTGGTAACACATAATGTAATGAAGTCACGATCTCTCCCTCGTGAGCCACTCCTTCGAAGTCTGAATTCTTATCTGGGAAGTATCCCCAAACCATCAGGATAGGGTGGATATGGAGTCCGCGACCAATGTTTGGATTCTTCAACCCGCTCGAAGTCAACAGTCCCGGTGTCATAAGCGAGCCGCAAGCCACAACTGTCACTTTGGCATTGATCTGAAGCTTCTTTCTGGTTCGGTTGGATAGAGAAGCTGTCACTCCCAAACATCTTTTTCTTCAGTCCGGTCTCCCTTCTTTCCTCAGCATCGTTATCCACCAAGATCAATTTCTCAGCCTTGCACTGTGTTAGGATCAAGGCATTGTTGTTAACTGCATCAACCAGCCAGGTTGAATCTGTTCCCCTTTTATCTCCGGTTTTGCATCCGGACGAGCAACTACCGCAGTAGTGTTTCTCTGATGAATTCCTTGGCACTACTGTTACATCCAAACCAAGCTTTTCGCAGAATTTGGTTCTGAAACCCTTCTCTGGTAATCTTCTAAGTTACACCTAATCTCTTGCAAACTGTATACATAGCCGCCTTGTAATTCTCTCTTGAAAATATTGGAATCCCTAGATCCACTGACCATTCTTCAATGATAGCGTCAGGTGTTTTCAAGGATGCTGCCCAGTTTACCACAGAGCCACCACCGACAGTTGATCCTGCCATGAACCGGAACCTCCCATCATGAGTCATCAATAAGCTATTCAACTCAAACATCTCAAACATGGAAGGACCCTCGAGAGTCGAGTAGTCTTGCGGCACAAAGTAGTTCCCTTTCTCGAGAACTACCACTCTAAGGCCTGACTTTGCTAGGTTTGCAGCTGCAACTCCTCCACCACAGGCAGAACCCACTACCACTGCATCACACTCGATCTTGTAAGTGTCGCTTTCTCTGTCCTCTGTGACTTGAAGACCTTTGTTGATCATACGTTGCTTCATTGTCATCTCATCTTCTTTTGCGGTCGCGATGATCCCTTTGTCTAGAGGTCTTTCCTCCTGTTCAACGTCATCGTTTGTACCTATGTCCACGCCATAGCCAATTGCATCCCATGCCGGGTTTTCTGAATTTTCATTTGTCTGCTCATACATACACATACACTGATAAGAGATATGCCAAAGTTTGTGCTGGTTATAGTAAAGTAGTTTGGAACCATGTTGTTGAGGACATTGCATAAGCCCTCGCGAAGAACACAACCTAGCGAATTGCGGAATAGAACCATATATCATCATCAAACCGATAAATTCCAGCATAACTTTTTAAGTCTATTAGCTTAATGATTCATGGGGTTGCACCTTATGTTCATAGTCATACATACTCATACTACTGGAAATGTTGATACAAAAGTACCATAGTCTCTGACGAAACTAAATGATTTGTTACAGAGATATGCAGAGGAAGTAAGAAGACTTTACCCATGTGAAGTAGTAGAACAAGAACATGGCTTTGATCATCAAAAAAGCGATTCTGGCTAAAGGGTTATACCACTGTATGTTCCATCTTTGAAGGATCTTCTCTCTCTTCTCCAGTGAAATATCAGAGAATTTGAGAAGAGAAGGCCAATTCTTTTTATCAAAACTGAGTAACCCGCAAAGCAACAACGTCCCCAATCTGAATGTGAGTATCCTCAAAACTATCCTCACTACTTTGACTGTCACTGGCATTGCCTTTGTCGCCAGCAGCTCTGCCACCTGTTTTTCAAGTTTACCATCATTTCATTACACACACACGCATATATGTAATTCAGTGTCCATGCTTTTAC